TGGCGACAATTCCTTTGACAGGTTCCTCTTCATCTGCGTGACGATGGACGGCACCGATGGTTCGCTTGACGGCCTTCTTGGCATCTTCTCCGACCAACTTTTCCTTCCTGAAGTTGAAATTAGTGACAAGTGGTGCCTTCTTTGCCCAATTAGCGTCGGCGTCCACCTCCTTGATTTCAACCCTCCAGCTTGCATCTTCATGGATGAACCAGTAACAGGTGATCTTACGACTTTTGTCGTCGATGCTGTAGTAAAGATCAATTCCTTCCTTTTTCTCCCGTTCATGAATAGACATCAAGAAAGGACCATTTCCGCTAGTCGACGCACTGACGTTCCTAGGAAGAATTGAAACCAATTCAGGATTTTCGACATTCTCCTTCATTTGGCCAGAAACATCAACCATCTGCGGCATGTGATAGATAACGGCAGCCTTTGAATCCTTGAAGGTGGTGCTGGAGATTCGCTTCTCGGTCCAAAGCTTCTTGATATCGGAATCGGTGAGAGTGTACGGAGTTTTGTCAGCGTCTGAACTGGATCTCTTAGCGCGAACGGTCTTCTTCCAAATCTCAATCTCTATTTCCTGTAGAGTAAATGCTGCCTCAATACGGGACTCGATCCACTCTTGATTCCAGCGGATGCAGTATCGTTGTTTCATACGTTGCATCGGGGGTTTGGTCCCAGTGTCCTGGTCTTGGATCCGATCGATTACCTTGTCAATTCCTCTTTCGACTTCGACACCACGACGTTCCAAGATACCCTGGATGCCCAACAGATCAATTCCGGGAAGCTTCCTAGCACGAGAGCGTGCACGAGCTCTGTGACTTGCATTAATCAAGTTCGTCAAGATTTGCGCCTTGGACGGGGTCAGGTCTGGCGCCAGCGATGGGAACTTCAGGAACGTGATGGACGTCTTCAAGTTTGCATCCAAGGGGTGAGGAATGGGAGAAAACAGGTAGAGAACCTCGAGTGGGCTGTTTCCAATAGCCAATTCTTGGGCTGTCTCTCTGGTGCTGTGACGTGTCAGCGAGACAAGCCAGGCGAGGAAGGTTCCGGGGAGACAAACCAATATATGTTCATAACGACAAGGTCATCAAAGCTGCGTTCCAACATTCTTCTAGCCTTGGAGAGCGGTTGGGCTGGGCCATTAACCCAGTGCCAAATCTTTCTGGAGGAAGCGGGCCATCCAGGCTTGAGGTGAGCGAGGTGAGGGAACAGGTCCTCGATGGGGAGTTGAAAGGGAAAGTGAATACGCTTCTCAGGACGGAATGCAGAAGCCATGTCGGTTGATTGGATGGCGAGTTGTGGGAGCAAACAAGGTGTAGATGGAGAAGGGAGGAGAGGGAGGTGTTGAGAGAAGAGAGGTGTTCGATGTCACAAGCAACGTTCAAATCAGTGACATGGCGCTAATAGGAATAAGCGAAAACGAAGGGTTGTGATCAACCCGCACAAGGTAGGATGAATTTCTCTTGTTACAATCAATACACAAACATTCAACATAAATCAGCCCCTCTATGAGCAGTTCCAGTACCATATCGAGTGATACAACATGCCATTCGGCTCCATAAACAAACACCACCGGTGTCAAATATAAAATAGTGTAACCCCCATCATCATTCTAACATGTGTCAGTTCGTTAACTTGCCGATATCTCTCCAAAAATATGGTCTCTGCCCCAATCCTCACTCATTTAACACTTCAACTATTACCGTGGTTGCTTAATTTGGCGTGCAGCCTTCCCATTCGTGAACGATTCGTTTTTGAAGACCACTTCCGCCGACCTTTTCGTCGTTGGCTTCATCGTCAAGTAATTCTTTCTCGCCGTGGTTACTAAGTTTGCCATCCGGATTAAGATCTTCAAGTTTAAATATCTACCGCCATACGTTAGCTAGCATCTTTACGTTAACTTGGAGTAAACTCACAGGGTTTTGGGCGCCTTCTCGGGCACCCTCTCGGGTTCTTTTCCTATATTTCATCGAACGAGATATTTTGGCAAGACTGCCTCTTCCTTTGTTGTATCGTGACCTGATATACCCCTTGGTCTTGGAGATAAGGTTCAAAGCTCTTAGTGTTGCGGTATCGGCGTTTCTCTTGTCCGTTGATGGTACTTTATCGAAAGAATCCTCCGTGTCACTGCAGTATTCTGAGTCTCCCAGGGTCGTTACGCTTTCGCAATCGACTAACTCTTCCCATTCAGAATCGCTATCGGATTCAACGTATTCGTCGAGAAGAACCGAGAAATTGCTCTCGCTATCGCCCCATAAGGGAACATTCAATATGGAGCTGCAATCCACATAGTCATTCTCGACGATATCGATACCACCATTATCAAAATCGTGCCGCATAAACGATTTCCTCTCCGGCGGCGGAATTGGTTTAAGGTGGCCTAGTCCGTTTCGATAATCCCGTATCGCCTCAGACTTCTCTCTGTCCATGAATTCCTGAGAGTAGCCGAATTTCCAACGGGCCTGGACAGAGATCACGAATTTGAGATTCCCGCGAACATCGGACCGAGTGATTACATTCACGCATTGGCTGCAGAGGATGAGGTCACACTTGCTGCACTTTTGTGCTACCCAGGTCCAGATATTGCAAGCTATGCAACACAGTTGTTTCATCTCTAGTAATGCGAAGATTTCGTGGCGGTGGTTGACTTGGAAAAAATCGCGCCATGGTGAGGAAGGCGTAGCTGGAGGATGTTGTCGGGCGATGGAAACTGTTTCCTCGATCATTTTTTGAGAATGAACCAAAATTCGTAGTTTTGAGTGTGAAGGGTGGATGTGGAACAAGGTTGGTCGATATCTAAAAGATAAGTGGGCAGCTTGAATCTGGGTCCCCTGGGTGGAGGTACTTTTACCCAGGCATTGTAACCAAGACTGTGTCATGGTGGAGGGAGGACATGGATGCGAATGCCACCATTTCCTGCATACCACTGTTACATCTACACACTTCGAGCAGGTTGTTGTTGCTGATATTGAGGAATAGTACGTGTCGAACGCAATATGATGATTATTGAGTATGGAGATCACCTTCGTCACGCAATTATTCGAAGACTACGGAGCTTGGGTCAGAGTATGAGTTTTTTCTCAAATATGGATAAAACAGATAGTATCTGACGATCAATGAAACATCGAGCAGGTAAAATACACATCAAAAAAGCGAACTCAGGCTGGTTTCCTACCGTATACACAAAAGCTAATCTGAGTCAGCACAGCCGTTACTTTGAAGATAGAATTCATGGGCACTTACTACATGCCATACATGTGATTGTTCTTGTTTCTGACAGCTCTATGGGATGCATCAATAATCTCGCGAGCTTTCGTTACCTCCATCCCAAGAACACGAGTAAACGGTGCCAGAGCGGCGCTGTCGCTGTAAGTTTCATCGTTAAGCAAAGTCATTGCTCCAATTAGCTTCTGCGCGGGATCCTTTGGCCATGGACCTATGGGTTCCTTGACTTGTACTGCCTTAACGTCATCAAATCCTGCTTTCTCCAACATTCTTTTCCAGAGCTCAATGTCTGGGGGTGGTCTTCCCATCTGGATCAGCGCTTTACGTAGATGATCTAAAAAGACCTTTGCGCCGTTGTCTGGCTTCATTGAACCGTCATCGCAATAGAGGGTATAGCTGTGCTCTCTCAATTCGACATAACCACCAGGTACCGCGCATCTGTAATTTACGCGTTAGTAAACCAATACTTCAGACGCGTGTTGGAAGCAGATACTACATACCGCATCATCTCGGACAGAAGGTGATCCCAGTCGGTAACTCCGGTGCAAATATTGCGCGCATGGATAAAGTCAAACGAGTTCTACAAACGACAAATGGCATTAGTCTCCGAGCCAATTCGTTCGGGTTGAAAAAGGAGATTAGAATATTTGCGAGCCATCTTTACTTACCTCCTGAAAAGTCCAATCCATCATTGCGTCATCAACCTCAAAGCGACTAGATAAACGTCAAGTTACATAACAATACACAGGATGGTACTCTATGATCCTACCAGTTTGCTGGAACCCAATCAGGCTGAATCGGGCTCAAGTCTGTTCCAATCACCTCAGACATGGGATATTTATCTGCCATGTCAATAGCCCATATTCCTGTTCCGGTGCCGATATCGAGAATTCTCTGAGGATCTGCGAGTGGGGATTGATGAAGCTTGTTGTCCCAGCATAGTCTCATGATCTCATGGTGAAGGTCAAGTCTACGAGTATTGGTGTTAACGGGTGTTCCTGATGCATATGCATAACTTCGCATGTCATCTTGCTAGCTTACCTATCTTGCTCCTTCTCATCGGTAGGCATGAGATATTTTTCGGTCCCGTAGTATGAGTGATATCGCCGCCCGTTTTCAAAAACATACTGATTCATGGAGGAAGATAAACTTGCTGTGCTGGTATCGTAGCCGGCCGAATCATAGGACTCTTCATCTGGTCTTTCGAGCTGTTATCGTTAGAGCTTGCGCCTGTAGAAGGAAGCTTTATGGGTCTTTATCATACCACTGTTGGATCAACTTCGAGCATGATTTCGGATTGAGTTGAAGACAGGTATGCTACTTTGTAGAATAAAACTAAGTGTACCGTTTGCTGAGTGCAGGGAGATGGCTTCTTAAACTAGAATACGTACTCCTCGGAGTGCTTGTTACGGTGAAGGCTGGCTATTTGCACAAATTAAACGCCCATGCACGGCGTTTATTGCATGTCATCGGTCAGATGATAGTCCCACAGATTTGTCGATTTGTACGACTATGGGTAACCGGTCAGTAATCATCCAAGTATTCACTGTATATCGGCGGCACTGTTCCCGTCCACAAGTGGCGCCATTGGCGCTTGCCGACATAGATCGAAATATGACAACCCCACTTTCAATCTGATAGCAATCATAGTATTGAGTACTTCGGCATCTCTTCAAGCCCCGTCGGATACCTGTCCAAAAAGAATTCGATAACAACGAACCGAGTAGAATAAACCCTAAACTTCGCGAAATTGTGCAAAACAAAACATATTGTCATAACCGTGAGATTCGAACTCACGCCCCATTACGGACCAGCACCCGGAGCTGGCGCCTTAGACCACTCGGTCAGGTTACCATTGACAATGCATGACGCCACATTCCAAAGCATGTCGTACATGTGCAGCACCAAAAATCACTCTTTCCTCGTAGATCTGAACTACAACTCCCCCTTTTGGAAATCATTATACATAGCTATTATCATTTTTGTTTGAAAAATGCTGTGCATAATCTTATCTGCTGTGTTATTGCACATGCATCGCGGTGTCGCGGTGAACGAATGTTGGTGGCACCAGCATCCAGCAACCCGGCCGTTACTCGCTTTCGCTTAAGCTCCGAGCTCCGAGCTCCCACCCCACTTGCGTCCTTCCACCCTCCACCTTTCGCAACATCTTTGATTCCTACGATGGACGTCTTCTGCTCAGAGCCTACTCACGACGACTACACCACATTCAAATCCGTAGTGTTTAAAGGCAGGTACAAGATACAGGCTTCGAAAGAACGGAAAGGGATTGCTGACTGAACTACTTCAGGTGCGATGGCCCCCAAAACACAATGGTAACCCTCGGAGACATACCCCGTTGTACAGGAATGTGAACTCACAGGCTTTTCTGGTGCAATTTTATCTCTCCGGATAGGTACTCACATGTGCTGGGATGTTCGAGATGCCACCGCTCGGAGATGCAAGTAGCGGCGTTTGACAAGCTCTAGCCAAGCGACAGTAACTGAGAGGCGAGGAAATGAAGTTTCTGGTACCAGAATGACGAAGAATGCTTATCCGGCTATGGTCTCAGATGAAAGCATATCAGTGAGATACCTAGCTACCCAAGTTTGAGATTCGCGACGTGTTCGGAGTCCAAAGGTAAGTGCTGATACTGTGTACTCCACTGAAGTGGCTACCTACTGCACACAGTTGTTCTATCGATGGGTAGAGCTAACTGCTCGCGATGAGATAATCTGAGAAGCCCAAATGACTGCCAAGACGGTGGTCGAATTCGCTTCCAACTCGTACCGATGATCGCGACCAAAAACAGAACACCGAGAACACACGACGTTGAAGACGCGTATTATCCTAGTTCAGGACGTCTCGATATTATCCAAGCGCGCGTATGTTCACGGTGGAAAGGAGCTCTTCTTCCAAGTCCTACCGGTGCGACTCTCCTCGCGTAGTCGCGTAGACTCGCTACGGACTAAGTAGAGTAGAGTCGACCACCCACTTCACAGCTCATCACGCAACATCGCATTTCCCTCCTATCTCCCCGGTGCCTGGATGGAAGCCTCAGCCTTGCCTTGGAATCCAAGCCATCATTAACTTCAGCCGAAACCACTTCTGCTAAGCAGTTGCTAACTCTTAGTAGATTTAATTGACTCCCTACCATTAAGTCAGCACCGGCGCGCTGTTTTTCCGCGCCGTTTTTATCCAGGCGAAGCTAAACACACAAGCCACACCAAATCCGGGTCATCTATACTATTTCCGGACTCAACGCCACGCCAACGTCCAACCATCGGGGTAACCCGTCAAAATTTCTCATGACAACACGGGATGCGCCCGTCGTTTACCTGTGGCCGATGCCACGGCGAGTGGTATGATGTAACATACTGGATATAGATGAGAGTCTAGTCTTGGCCAGACCCGATCGTCACCGTTGATTCTGGTTTTGAAGACTTTGGAGCCGACAAGCCCGCGGACTCCCCGGGCGGAATCGGTTCCGTGGGGAGATGAGATATGGGGAGGCGGGGTTGCGGGGCCCCGTGGGTGATAGAACGATTCGTTGTCTAGCGGGTGAGATTTAAGGGTGCGGCGAAATTTGTGAAGATCTGATTTCCGCGGATGTGATTTGTCAATTCTTGACGGTCGTTTGCGATCAACATAGGCGATTTTCGGGATCTGGGGAAGAAAATTTTGGTGACCGCATGATCAGCTTTTCTAACGGTTTCAGGGCAGATCACATTCTTCGAAGATTTCACTGGAAGCAAAGTTTTTTGTACTCATGATATCTGTATTCATTCGTCTTGTAGCGTACAAATCGACAATTCCAACCCCAACTCCAAAAAAAATATTCACAAGGAAAAGATGCAAAAAAAAAACACCACAATCAACTCCAGAACTCAGGATATCGTTTAAACGAAGTTAGCGTTCTTCATGCTGCCAGTCTCCTCAAGGGCGATGTGCATAGCGAAAACGTTCTTGAGAATGTGGGGCTCGTGTCCGGCTCCCTTACGGAGGCAGATCTGCTCAGCAGTGTTGAAGTAGTCCAAAAGCATGGGCTTGTAGTCAGGGTGAGAACACTTCTCAATGATGACACGAGCACGCTCGCGAGGAGCAAGACCACGGAGGTCAGCGTATCCCTGCTCGGTGACGTAGAGGTCGACATCGTGCTCGGTCTGGTCAACGTGGGAGGCCATGGGAACAACGCAAGAGATACCGGTGGGGTCAGTCTTGGTGGGACGGGCAGAGGGAGTGTGCATGATGGAGATCTTAGCGGAACGCAAGAAATCAGCAGATCCTCCGAGTCCGTTGAGCATACGGGATCCGTTGACACAGGTGGAGTTGGCGTGTCCGTAAATGTCGAACTCAACGGGGGTGTTCATTCCGATAACACCGAGACGACGGATGATCTCGGGGTGGTTGGAAACGGTCTGGGGACGGAGGAGCAACTTGTTGTAATAGTTGTCCCAGTCGCGGTAGAAGCGCTTGAATCCATCGGGGGAGAAACGGATGGAGGTAGCGGTGGCGAAGTTCAAGTGACCCGAGTCGAAGAGGTCCAAGAAGGAGTCCTGGAGAACCTCAGTCCAGACGGTAAGGTCACGGAAGTTGTCACCCTTGGCGAGTCCTCCGATAACGGCGTTGGCGATGTTACCAATTCCGGACTGGAGGGGCAAGAGGGAGGGAGGAAGACGCTTAGCCTCAACCTCACCCTTCAAGAAGCTGATAAGGTTGGCGGCGATGGCCTCGGAGACGGCATCCTCGGGGGCGTTGTCGGAAGTCATGTCGGGAAGACGGGACTCGACAATGCCGACAATCTTGTCGGGGTCGCAAGGAATGGCGTTGGTTCCAATGCGGTCCTCGGGGGCCATGACAAGGTAGGGCTTGCGACGGGGGGGCTGCTCTCCCATGACAATGTCGTGGAGTCCCTCCATGGAGGGGGTCAGGGTGTTGAGCTCAATGATGACCTTGTCGGCGGCCTGGATGATCTCGGGGGTGGCTCCGACGGAAGCTCCGGGAACGATTCCACCGTCCTCAGTGATAGCGGTGGCCTCAACGACGGCGATGTCGAGCTTCTTTCCGTCGGTACGGTGCTTGGTGTAGTATCCGTACAACAAGTCTCCGGGGAACATGGACAAGTGCTTGTCGAAGAAGTTGATGCGTCCCTCGTTGATTCCCTTGGAAATGGACTTTCCAACCTGGTGGGGAGCACGACGAGTGTACATGTTCAAGTCGGCCCATCTTCCCTCAGTCTCGGCTCCGGAAGAGGCACCAACGAAGAGAGAGTAGTTGGTGGTTCCCTGGAGGTTGTTCTTCTCGACGTGGTCGGCGAGGGCAATGGGGAGGACCTTGGGGTATCCGACACCTGATTTTAATTAGATAGCTGTTTAACGGCAAAAACGCGATAAAAGCGCAGTTGGCGGGGTAACTCACCAGTGAATCCGGACCATCCGATGTAAGATCCGTTGGGGAAGTGGTGAAGCAACTCATCGGCAGTGTGAAGCTTGTTCCAGAGGGAAGGCTTGCGAACACGGGCCTTGAAGGCGGCAGAAGCCATAGCAGCGCGGGACATGATGAATTAATTGTAAAACTTTCTTCTTGCGTTTAAGATGAAAAAAAAAGAAACAGCACGCGCTGTTGATATGAATATGGCAAAAAACCGGTTACCGTTGCGCGGGGTGACGCAACAATAATATCAGGGATGAGGGGAGAGGACAATCGACACAGTAAAGGGCCAATTGAACGTGGAAAGTGAGGGACAAAGACGGAGAAAGGAGAAGGTAAGTTCAGCAGAAGTTCGCTCCAATTTGTACCCTTCGTAATTTGACAGCTGGCGTCGAAAGTCGATCCAATGCAGCTATCACTCGGGCGGAAGACCGGAGTATTCCCCAGTTGACAATCCATGGTGATGTCAAAGTTAGCGCTGCCGGGACCAGATCGGCTTAGGGCTACGGGTGAAGGGAAATCCCAGGCGTGCGGGAAGAAGGGACGCCACGCCGACATTGCCGGAATCCCTGTGTTCGTGGCTAGTGAGTGGCTCCCGCCCTACCGTCATTGCCGAAGCACAGCACAGGCCGCTGACAACGGACACAGAGGTTCGTGATGATGAGGCCGAGATATCCTATCTTCGCAAGAACGGCACGAAATATCATTGTTGGCAGCATTACGATTGTAATCCGTTTGCTTCGAATTCCATCAGCCACGCCAAGTCGAATTTGCCAAAATCCCGGAATTACTTTCCTCCTGTTCCGCGCCCAGAAAGTCAAGCATTCACAAGTAGGCTGAACCGACCTGCAGCCCTAACTTGGATTGCGACCGAATCTTCACGAAACGCGTCAACCCTAACCCAACACCGAAGGAGTCGCAACTCTAAAGCTTTTTTCCACAGCAATTAAGCTGGTGACATGCTGGAAAATAGCTTGAACAATAACTAGAAGCATATGAAATAAATGTCAGCAAAAATCCCCACGTGAATAGCTTCATAGTTCCTCTTACAGCTCCAGCAGGCAAACCGCCTTTAAATCTTCTCGAATGATGACTCCAACTAGCTTATGCAAAATTGAATCACTAGAACACGTTTTCCACGCTCGGGACCCGCTAGAACAGAGTCTCCCCGGTTCCTACCCTCCTCTTAGATCACCCTAAAGACGCTCCTCCTCAGCCTTAAACGCCTGGTCTGCTCCGGTGAACTGGTTCCTTATCTTCAGTCCGTGTTATCTCGGATAGACCAATTGCTAGTCTTTCTTTGCTGGTTCCTACATCCACCGACGGGTAGATCCATGGATTCCCTGCTCCGGAGCTTTTTTCTGCAGGAGGCCGAAGCGGAAGTGTCAAACTTCGGAGCACACTGACAGCTAGAAACTCTAGTCTGT